CCATCATCACCACCACCCTCATCACCTCCACCATCATTGCTACCATCACCACCACCATCATCACCACCACCCTCATCACCTCCACCATCATTGCTATCATCACCACCACCATCATCACCACCACCCTCATCACCTCCACCATCATTGCTATCATCACCACCACCGTCATCACCACCACCCTCATCACCTCCACCATCATTGCTATCATCATCACCATCATCATCACCACCACCCTCATCACCACCACCATCATTGCTATCATCACCACCACCGTCATCACCACCACCCTCATCACCTCCACCATCATTGCTATCATCACAACCATCATCATCACCACAACCATCTTAATAAGAAATGTATTATTTATCTTATTCCAGTAAATTCGAATGGCGTGTCTTCCTTTACGACCCAACACGACCCCACATCCCACCAGGTGAGAACGAAACGAGTTTCTTCCACGAGATGATTAACATCACAGGTATTCAATACGACGCCCCGCGTCTCGTGGTCAAACCTCGCGCGTTGGACTATGGTATTTACAAGGCAATTGAAAACGTCACTATGATTGGCCCGCAGGGTGTGTGGCATACAGATGATGGATATTTCGAAATCATCAAGTCTCCGCTGTATGCAATTATTATTGGTGGAAGTACAAGGTCGATAGGTTTTGATAAGAATTTCACCTTGGATGCAAACGCATCCAGAGATCCAGATGTGGATGTCGGCAATCGAGAGGGCATTCAGGTGTACTGGTTGTGTAAACGCCAGTCCGAGAAGAACTTTACGTTCCCGGACGATCCTGGAAATCTCACTGTGATCACAATCATCCCTCGCGCTGTCATCCACGGAGTGAATGCTACTGACTTGGGTAAGTGACCTGGATTGTTGTATTAATTCTAAACTATGAGAACTATTTCTATATGTGTGTGTGTGTGTGTGTGTGTGTGTGTGTGTGTGTTGGTGTTATGTACTCAGGTGAATATGATGTATCTGAGTACGTAATAGAGGTGTGCAAATCTGATCCGAAACCGATCCGAATCCGATCTGATCGGATTCGTTCGGATTTCGGAACCAAAATATTCATTTCGGATCGGATCGGATTGATAAAGTTGTTTCGTAGTTGGATCGGATCGGACTTCGATATTCGAAATAAAATGAATTTAATTATCCACGCATTATCGCAAAAATTAATTATCCATTCCAATTAATTATCCAACAACAATATCAAAGCATTATCGCGGTTGTCGCTGCATTATTCGTTTAATACTTCAATTGGACGTTACTTTGTCAGCTTCTTGACATGTATTTCTTGCTTTTATATTTATTTGGTTAAATATTTCAACTTGAATAAGAAATTTATTTTATTAGAGAATTCATCGGATCGGATTGGAATTCTTTTTCAAAACTCGGATCGGATTCGGATTGGACAATTTCGGATCGGATCGGATTTTAAACATTAGGCAATTGTCGGATTATAAACGTCCAATCCGATCCGATGCACACCTCTAGGCATAACACCAACACACACAAAAATGTCATATCATAGAATACATTGATATCGAAGGAACTAGACTCATTTCCGAAATATCACCAACTCGAACCGACTTAACCTCGTAGCTACATCGATGACCTCCAAATTATATTTTTTTAAATGATTTCTCTTAGTATAATCAATTATTTTGACAATTTTAAAAAAATTCTATGGAGCCGAAATTTTTTAAATTACGTAAAGTGATTATTCATAATACTTTTTTTTTTGGCTCCACAGAATTTTTTTTAAATTGTCAAAATAATTGATTATACTAAGAGAAATCATTTAGATGTTGTTTTATGTACTATTTAAAAAACGAGCAGGAGTGTTTTATTAGGTTTAAAGTCACGAGCGCGCAGCGCGAGTGGCTTTAGACCTAATAAAACACGACCTGCGAGTTTTTTAAATAGTACGTCAAAAACATTTGCATATAATAAGTCAAATCTTTATATAAAAATCTTTATATAAAAATGTTTATATAGAAATCTTTATATAGTTTGCATAACAATGGTCTTTTGTTAAAGTGTTCTTTAGCTGGTATAAAGACGTATGCACGTGACTAATTTCTTACTCAAGATTGGATAATTGCTTCATGAATTATTAATGAGTTTTTGAAATAAGTATAAAGGTACTTTTGTTTATCAACAAGTAATAATTATCCAAAAATACGCATCTAAATCGTGAATTTTCCATATTTTTAAAAACTGTATTGAGCTTCGTTAAGCCGTTTACAGCGAAGTAGTTGAGTTAATTTAACATTTTCTGGTTTGTTTGACACGTGTATTTTGAAAATCAACCAATATGGCATCGATTTCAAACGTGCAATTGATGGAATATATGAACAACGAGAGCGAGTGTTTCACCGGGATATCCAAACACGAGAAAACAATGTATGTAAACACGAGCGCGAAGCGCAAGTGTTTTCATACATTGTTTTTGAGTGTTTGGATATCCCGGTGAGACACGAGCTCGAGTCGTTTATATGGCTTCTCAAATGAATCGAGATGTAACAGAATGTTTTCGTTTGCTGATTTGAATAGAATTCTTAACCAAGCATAACGTAATTAGGAATTCTATTCAAGTAATTTTGCATGCGTAATCAAGATATTTGATGAAAACACTAGTGACTTTCATCAAGTTTCACCGGGTTATCCAAATGGCATCTTGTGATCAAATAGGTGATTATCATTGGCTGAATTGACCATTTGCGTAATAGACTAAATTTTGAACTAAACAAGTCTAGACAAAAATTTCATCACAGCTTGAAGGAGCATCGCAAAATTAGTAATATTCCAAAGTTTCGTTGCAAAATGTTGTAAAATGCGGAAAATATAGCCTTACGAAATTTGCAGTTTTCAGTCATTTTAGATTACAAATGGGAAATTGACAGCCCCAAACCCTTCGAGGCTGTCAATTTCCGGTTTGTAATCTAAAATGACTGAAAACTGCAAATTTCGTAAGGCTATATTTTCCGCATTTTACAATATTTTGCAACGAAACTTTGGAATATTACTAATTTTGTGATGCTCTTTAAAGCTGTAATGAAATTTTTGTTGAGATCAAAATTTAGTCTATTACGCAAATGGTCAATTGCTCACGAATTATTAATGAATTTGAGAAGTAATATTTCAAACCCGACTATAAGGACTGAACTACATTTCAAGTCCACGTAATTTGTCAGAGGCGAACCCGAGGACTGGATCGAACTTGAAATCTAGTCCAGTGCTGAGTGCGAATGGACAACTTGCATGTTAGACTAAATTTTAATCTAAGTAAAGAGAAGGAAATAAAACACAACAGTTAAAAAGAACATAAAGAAATTAGTAAAATTTTGCAAAATTTGGTTACGAAATGTTGTAAAATACAGAAAATATAGCCTTGCGAAGTTTGCATATTTTCAGTATATTTGTATTACGTGCGGAAATTGTTACCATTTTCGGCTCAAAAAAGTAACAATTTCCGCACGTAATATAAATATACTGAAAATATGCAAACTTCGCAAGGCTATATTTTCCAAGCTTTACAACATTTCGTAACCAAATTTTGCTATTTTACTAATTTTAATAAGTTCTTTACTTTTTTTTGCCTAAATCAAAAATTAGTCTAACATGCAAGTTGTCTATTGGAAGATTTGAAATGACATCTCATACAGATAAATCATTTCTTAAAGTGAGGTGAATTAGTTTTGATCCAGTCCAAAGACTGAATTAACTGCAGGTTGACCACCATCTGTTGTACGATAGTGCTTTATAGTGAGCTCACATATATTGGTGATTACTTTAGGTGGTTGCCATGGAAACGGTCCAGGCTTGCTTGACTTCACAGGCTACGAGCTGCCGTTGAATTCTGGTTACATGAATATAAACGAGACGTACGATTTCAGATTCTTTATAAGGAAAGGAAACAGAACAGCGTATTACGATAGTAGCGTTTTGATTGTAGCGGGCGACCCACCACAGATGGCTATAAGGTTTGTATATATCATGTAAAAAATCTTTGAAAGTCGTTTAGTCAATATAACAATAATAACAATAAGTTCTTTGAATGTTTGCATGGCGATAAAATATAATTGTTTTTGTTTGTGGAAACACCACGTAAATTTATTGCTGCAGTAATAAATTATTAGTAATTTATTTATTACTGCAGTAATAAATTTACGTGGTGTTTCCACAAACAAAAACAATTAATATAACAATAACTTTAACAATAAGTCTTGGAGACTACAAACCCTGTGTATAAGAGGCAACTTTTTTCAATCTGTTCAAAACCGAAAATCCTTTTGGCGTATGCCTCTCAAAATTACTTTGTTTTAGCTTTATTTTCTAGTTGATACCGTTAGCTACCTAATGTTTAAATGCAATTGCCGGTCGAGAAACAAAAAATAATAGGAAACGTTTTTCAATTAAAACACAATTATCAGTAATGCTTAAAAGTGACGCCATATTTACAGCAATATAAGCAAAACTCATGCTGAACTTCAGACATCATTTTCTCTTTGGTGTGCCATCTAAAGTCTCTTGATTTTAGCATAATTTTACAGATAAAGCCCTAAGCATACTTTTTATGTTGTTTTTTTGCCGATTGAGAAACGTATCGATTTGAATGTGGTCATAACCTCAAGTGGTATATTATACTCATTAGTTTTGAGCGTGTGTCACGTAACATACAAAAATATCTCCTCTTAAAGAACTAAAATTTACAGCAACAAAATGTTTAAAGGTGGAAACCTAACTTCGCCCCCCCCCCCTTTCCCCCGCAGTATTTCGCAAAGTGTCGCCCACTGTCTTTTATGGAAATAATAGAGTTTGGTTATACGGTGAGGGACGGGTTTCTCCGGATCACCAGGTTTTCCTCACTAAAAAAGCCTTAGGCATTAATCGTAGTGAACTAACCCTATATGTTTTACGTTCGCAGATGTGACAGGAACTGTCTTGAAAAATTCAATCCCTCGGAAAAAATCACACTCACAGCGCTGTGCACAAGTTGCACTTCATCTAGTGCGACAAATCTAATGTACAAATGGACGTTGAGTGTACAAGAGGGTGAGACATGGACCAGTGTGGATCTTGCAAGCATAGCTAAGACACCGGTTGACCGAAACACCGTGGTTATAGGAGGGGGAAAACTCGAAGGAGGCAAGATGTATCGTATTCGCATTACAAGCTGGTTTAAAGGTGGTACCTCTACAGGGTTTGCCGAATTGGCTAAGGTTATCAATGTACCGCCGTCTGGTGGGGTGTGTGTAGCTACCCCCTCCGAGGGATACGCTCTTAAAGAGATATTTGCTGTCAGTTGCGAGGGATGGGAGGACACTGATACGCCTTTAAGGTTTGCATTACTTTGTTGTTTAGAATTATGCACGTAAAAACGCACAAGTTATTACAAGTCTGCAAACAAGTTGTTACAAATCTGTTCACAAGCTGTCAACAAGTTGTGTTCGCACTGCTTGTTCCCAGTTGTTGTAACAAGTTTGGAACAAGCTGTTAACAACTTGTAACAAGCTTGATGGCATTATCAGACTTGTTACAAAATTGTTCTAACAAGTCTGATACAGTCATGATATAACAAGAATGTTACAAGGTTGACGACGCAAAGTTGTAACAATATTGTTATATCATGGCTGTATCGGACTTGTTGGAACAACCTTGCAACAAGTCTGATAATATCAACAAGGTTGTTACAAGTTATTGACAGCTTGTTTTAAACTTGTTGACAACTTGGGACAAGCAGTGCGAACACAACATGTTTGACGACTTGTTACAAGATGTGAGATTTCTGTGTGTGTAGCGTTAGCGCAGTGTAAACACGGCGTTACTATCTAACCATCAGAGACAGTTATAACAGAACAGAACTGGACTGAGCTGAGCTTCTCGTATCTTATTATAGTTACACCATCAAGTACAAGAATGGTTTAGATGGCTTAGAGTCTGGTATCTATGAAGGAATGGACGCTGTACGACGCAATATGTCGATGCCTTTGGGCAAGGAGATGTATAACCATACCATATTTATTTATGTCAGTATCAGTGATAGCTTGGGAGCTTTTACCACGGTCGAAACAAGAATTAAGGTAAACATTTTCGTTTTACATTGGAGTTGGAAGCAATGCCGCCTTGCACAACACCACCCTATTTAGCTGCTCGGATTTATCTTGTCTTCCATACTTGTTTACAATTGTCATGTATACCGGATTAAAAGGGGGATGTTTGTAGGGAGAATTGTTTAGAACTGATAGAGCTATCCAGTATAAATAAAGTTAGTTTAGTTTAGGTTTCCTCCTGTAGTAACACTGGATCAATAAGAGATGATCCTTACTGGATCTCTAGAGAGAGCAGTTTAGAACTGATAGAGCTATCCAGTATAAGTAAAGTTAGTTTAGTTTAGGTTTCCTCCTGTAGTAACACTGGATCAATAAGAGATGATCCTTACTGGATCTCTAGAGAGAGCAGTTTAGAACTGATGGAGCTATCGAGTATAAATAAAGTTAGTTCAGTTTAGGTTTCCTCCTGTAGTAACACTGGATCAATAAGAGATGATCCCTACTGGACTTCTAGGGAGAACAGTTTAGAACTGATAGAGCTACCCAGTATAAATAGAGTTTCCATTTATGCATTAATCATCGGTGAATATTTCGTAATGTCATTTGTATGTTTATGTTTTACAGGTCACGGAGGAACAGTTAAGCGACGATGAATTCAGTGATATGTTAGGTAGCATGACTGCAGATAATGGCGCCTTAGGAAACCTTATCGCAGAAGGCAATGCACAAGCGATGTGTCAGTTTGTCGGAGCAATTACGTCATTGTTAAATAACAAAGCTGAACCAGAACCGGAAGTGATCACGACCACAGCGGCCCCCAATCCAGGTCCTCCACGAAATCCAAAAGACATCGCCGCCGAAGCGGCTCGAAGGTTAGGATTGGGTTAGACATAGGGTTCGGTTTGACATTGGGTTGAGTGTATTCTAAAAGCTCACTCACGCTCAAAGAGTGGAGGTTCAATCTGAGCTTCCCTTGAGTGTCAGTACTGTTTTTGAATAGCTGGAGGGTTAGTGTCGTATCTTACTATGTGACTACTCACTCGCCAGCTATTCAAAAACAGTATTCACACTCAAGAGAAGCTCCGATTGAACCTCCACTCTTTGAGTGTGAGTGAGCTTTTAGAATACAGACGATAGAGACGTTTCAGACGTTTTTTTCTCATTGACCGTGTAAATCTGTGTGTATTCAGGGCACAGGAAGAGGCAGAGAGGAAAAGGCGAGAGGAAGAGGCAAGGAAACAGCGAATTGCGGTAAGTAACTACATGGTAACAAGACGTGTTTGGTGTCACCCGAGTGGAATTATGTTTTCTGTGTTCAGTGAATTTCATTGTGCATTTAATGGCTGTCGCCGCCTGTTAGGTAAAGGTCCCTAGGTTTATAATTGTATTTCGTATTTGTATTTTCTAGGCTCGCGAGAAAATGGTGTTGGCAATGACGAACGTTCAAGTTGATTCTGTGACGACTGTACAGCAGACATCGGCAGCATTGCAAAGTCTTCTTTCAACTCCTGAGGAAGTTTCACCAGATGCACAGGTGCGATGACGTGCCCTTATCAACGAACAACTCATTGTTTTCTGTTAAATTATTTCACTTTTTAAGTAATGCTACTGACAAACGAACGAACAAACAAACAAACAAACAAACAAACAAACAAACAAACAAACAAACAAACAAACAAACAAACAAACAAACAAACACAAACAATCAATAATGATAACAAACCAAGATCTCCAAAGCGAAAGTCTTCAAAGTTTTTTACATTAGGTAAAGAATTTTTTATTAAATGATTGCTTTTAAATGTTTCAGGCGGGAGCCAGTAAAGCTATGGAAAATATGGCTGATTTCATGCTGTCAAATTCTAAATTTACCAGTGGTTCTGCGTTGACTTCTGCGGCGACTGGGTTGGTGTCAGGTCTGGGGTATATGGTATCAGCTTCCTCTTCCACTGTGTCTAAAAAAGATAATAATGATACTGCTGCGAATGCTTCAGCAACCGTTTTACAGGTAGGTGTTTCATGGTGCTGGCGATGATGACGATGGTGGTTGGAAGGGGGTTGTGATGGTGGTGATGTTGGTGGTGATGAAGATGATGGTTATGATGGTGGTCGGAGGAGAATTGTGATGTTGGTAATGGTGAAGATGGTGATGGTGGTGTTGGTGATGATGATGATGGTTATGATGGTAGTCGGAGGGGAGTTGTGGTGTTGGTAGTGGTGAAGATGATGATGATGGTGGTGGTGGTGTTGATGATGATGATGGTTATGATGGTGGTTGGAGGGAGTTGTGATGTTGGTAATGGTGATGAAGGTGAAGGTAGTCGGAAGGGGGTTATGATGTTGGTGGTGATGTCGGTGGTATGATGGTGGTGCCGGTTGATGATGGTGGTAGTGATGAAGATGATGATGGTGGTTGGAAGGGAGTTGTGATGATGGTGATGTTGGTGGTGACAAAGATGATGGTGATAGTGGTGGTTATGATGGTGGTCGGAAGGGAGTTGTGATGGTGGTAATGATGATGACGACGATGGTGCTAATACTGATTGTGGTTGTTATGATTGTGATTGTGATGGAAATCACAATGGTCCAGTGGATGTTATTATTTGTCGTCATGGCAATAACCCATTCATACTTTCCGTCTTTTCCAGGCTAAAGCCGTGATAGCGTCTCTGAATGGGGCGACTGACAAAGTCTTCCAAGCTGTAGCCAGCCAGAGTGCGCTAGGAGAGGATGCAGTCATGATTCAGACACCTGCCATGGCGCTGACATCTAGTAAGAAACTGCCGTCGGAACTCGGGGGTAGCGAAATGAGTATCGGAGAGGGGAAGTTTGGTATGCCGATGGCCTCGAGCTCTGACAATAATACTGATCCTGTTGATATGAAGGTACTTTGCTAACTTTATTTATACCGAATAGCTCTATAACATCTAAACTATTCTCGCTAGAGTTCCAGTAAAGGTCATGTCCCTTGTTGGGTAAGTGTTACTGCTAACAGGAGCCTATAAAGCTTAACCTGAGCAAACCTTCGTTTTGCTACCCGAAAAGGCTATGCCTTTGTCAAGGACTGTGCTCAAGCTAAATTAACTGTATTGATGCTGAATAGCTCTATCAGTTCTAAACTATTCTCCCTGGAAGCCTAGAGGCGTTGGTTCAGCACGGGACGAAACCTAAGCTAAACTAACTTTATGTATACTAGATAGTTCTATCTGTTTTAAACTGTTTTTTCCTTGAGGTCCAGTAAGAGTCATCTCTTATTGATCCATTGTTACTACAGGAAGAAACCTGAACTAACTTTATTTATTCTGGATAGCACTATCACTTATAAACTGATCTCCCCTATAGGTCCAGTAAGGATCATCTCTTATTGATCCAGTGTTGCTACGGGATGTGAAACCTATGCTAACCTAAAAACCATGACCAGCGACAATTTCAAAAAGTAAAGTAAAAAACAAATTCCGAAAAGACAAGACATTTTGAGAATACAATATATGATGTAAATTTTCGACTTTGAAATAAAGTCTCAACCTCCGTCTTGTTTTGAATCATATGTAATATATTGTATTCTCAAGATGTCTTGTCTTTTCGGAATTTGTTTTTTACTTAAGCTAAACTAACTTAATTTATACTAGATACCTCTATCAGTTCTAAACTGTTCTCCCTAGAGGTACAGTATAAGGCTCATCTCTTATTGATCCAGTGTTACTACAGGAGGAAACCTAAACTAAACTAACTTTATTTATACCGGATACCTCTATCAGTTCTAAACTGTTCTCCCTAGAGTGTTAGTAAGTCTAGCACGTATTGGCTCTGTAATACTGCCTGGAGAAAACCTGTGGTGTTTGGTAGAGTCAAACTGGAAGTACCCTTCTCACATGTGACTGAGGTGAAATTATAACCAGACAACTGTATTTTGCAGGAATTGAGTCTTGAGTGATTAAGGTGAAAGCTAGATGCTGTGTCACCACCCTTTCGCTAAATTATTTTACTTTATTCTCCTAGGGAGTTGGAACGAAAGACAACGCTTACTCGTGGGATCCAAGTGCAAGTGCAGTACAGACACAAGTCATGTCCCTGGAGTTACGCAATTCTACAGGACACATTATTCCTGGCAATAACCTCGGCGAACCTATCTCCCTATTTGTTTCGACAGGCCAGACGCCATCTGATCCTTCTATCATAACCCTGTCACACAGAAGCACGGTTTATCATACACTTAATGTGGACAAAAACGATACAAGCCTTCATTTTGAAATACTCCGCAAGACCCTAATACCGAAATTATCGTGTATCTGAAACATGGAGTCAGGCCAACAAAAGAAGACTATGATTTCACTCTAGTACTCCCTGATGATCCTCCAGTCAATGCTACCTTCCCTAAAGATCGACATATGTTCTATATTTCTAACGCAGATACTAACCACACTACAGCAGGAACATGGTACCTTGCTGTCTTTTATAATGGTACCATCAACCCACAATATCTACTGGACAGTAAAGGTATTCCAGAATTGTTTATTCCCAAGAAAGTGAATTATACGCTGCGTATGTATTCGTCTGGATGCTTATTCTGGGATGAGGAAAACGATAGGTGGAGTGGTGACGGATGTGTGGTAAGTATCGAGTTGAAAGTTTTCAATGTTCTCGTGTTCAAAGTTTCTCACTTCGTGTTGAAAGTTCACACTTCGTGCTCAAAGTATCTCACTTCGTGTTCAAGTTTCTCACTTCGTGTTCAAAGTTTCTCACTTCATGTTTAAAGTTTTGTATTTCTCTTTCTAGGTGGGCCCTCAATCTAGAATGGACATGGTACAATATCTGTGTACTCATTTGACATCATTCGCGAGCGATTTCTTTGTCATGCCTAATGTGATTGACTGGAGTAAGATCAGTTTGGATAACTTGTTTTCAAATCCCACCGTGTTCGCTGTCGTCATGGCTATTTTTGGACTTTACGTCATTGGCATGATATGGGCAAGAAAGAAGGACAAACAAGATCTATTATTGGTACGACTAGATTTCATGTTCTGCGAAATTAAACGTTATTTATTTACACTGTATTGCTCGATTAGTTCTAAACTGTTAAAGTAAAGGTCTAGTATGAGCCATCGATCCAGTGTTACTAACTTACACATGTAAAAACGCACAAGTTGTAACAAACCTGCAGCAGAGCAATGCTTGTTCCCAGCTAGTTGACAAGTTGTCATGCTCAACAGACTTATTGCAAGTTGTTCCAACAACTTGTTATCGTCCTGCAATTCAACAACTTGATAACAAGTTGTGAGTGACAACCTTGTAGCAACTTGATAAAATAACAGCATTGCTACAACTTGTTCACAAGCTTGCTACAAAGCTGTTGCGAACACATCTTTTTGACAAGTTGTGAGATTTTTACGTGTGTACACAAGAGGGCACTAACATTATTTATAACAGTTATCTCTATCAGTTATAATTTTTTCCAGTGAGGACCATGATCTATCCTAAACTTGTCTAACTTTATTCACGCTGCATAGTTCTATCAGTTTATTAATTGCTTTCAATTTTCTACCTTATCAAGCTTGGAGCTACGCCATTAGAGGACAATGACCCCCGGGATATGTACCTCTACGAGGTTGTGTTCTACACGGGTCATTCTGCCAGTGCTGGTACTACGGGGAATGTCTATATGATCTTGGAAGGTACCATAGACGAAACAGCGCCCAAGGCAATGAAGGATCCAGTTCGAGTGAAATTTACCAAAAGTGCTATTGATACATTCCTACTGGCTTTGGGTCGACTGAAAAGTCTGAGGGTGTGGCACGATAATTCAGGCCAGTCACCAGATAATGATAAAAACAATCTGAAAGCATTTTTCTACATTAATTACAGTACAGTCGAACCTGTCCTGATGGAAATACAGTATCTCTAATACAGACACCTCTCTAATACAGACACCTCTCTAATACAGACACCTCTCTAATACAGACACCTCTCTAATACAGACACCTCTCTAATACAGACACCTCTCTAATACAGGAGATTCAATCGTACGATTGGCAAACTCTCTTCTACGCTCCGTGCTTGCGTGGCGCCGTTGGCGTCTTTCTTCCTGTTGTTCATGATCGTGTTCCTGGCCTACGCGCAGTTTGCATTCTTAATTTTCGGGCCATTTATGACGGATTACTCCTCGTTCGATCGATGCTTGGCAAACATGCTCGGGATGACGGTGGGTTCGTTCGACTTCGACGCTCTGAATGCAACCAACCGAATAATTGGACCGATCTTTTTCTTCTCTTATATCATGGTGATGGTCATGATCCTGATGAACGTGTTCCTGTCCATCATCAACGACACGTTCAATGAGGTGAACTCTGACGTCTCGAAGCAATCTAGCGATTCCGAAATAGCCGATTTCATGATGGATCGTTTTGTTGCAACAGTCAAACGCACGGGCGCCACAATTCAACCAATTTATAAAGAACCCAAAGATGAGCTGGATCAAAATCTCGATGACATCGAAGAGCTTTCGGACAACGTGCAACTAGCGCTGCGAAGCCTTTGTCTCGAAAGCATCCGTCACACGTCGTGGTTCAAAGCCGACAACGTGGAAGAGTCCGACAAGAAACGACAAATCTTAGAGCTTCTCATCATTTCTGGCGAGAATTTCACGGAAAGCGATGTATGTGATGCAATTCCGGTACTGGATACAGTATTGGCGAAGTACTCCTCAGATCAGCTCAAGATCATCACCAAACATTTTCAGGCAAAATTGGCGCGGGAAGAGAAAGAAGACGCGTAAAAGGCAGGCGGAAGAACGCGAGGATGATGATGAGGTTGACGACAGCGATGGTAGTGATGACGACAGCAATTCTGACCGATACGAGGACGTATTTGATGCTAAAGACAACACAAGGTTTGATTTCTAAGAATGCGTAAAATATTCTAAGAACTCTTTGAAACATTCCTAAAGATATTCATAGAAAATTTTTTTGCGAGATTCCACATCGTCGCGCCATCTAAACAAAGACTAATTTAAGAAGCTAATTAAAGAGAATAAGTAATCGATAACATGACATCATTATGATGTAATATCATGACGTCACTGTGATGACGTCATGCAAGAATATATGTAGCTATGTTTGTACACATCATAAATGAAACTAAAGTAAACTAGCTACATTAAACTACATTTAAAACTAAACTAAAATAAACTACATTTAAAACTAAACTAACTAGACTATTTAAAACTAAACTTTGTAAAATATTCTTATTTCCAACATTCTCAAAGTATCACGTATTTATCCAATTAAGGGGCAATTTTTTTCAAATGTCGCGTACTTGCGTTGAAAAGTATTCAAACCCTAAAATCTTTTTGCCGTCTACGTCACAAAATCACTCTGTGGTAGCTGGTCAAACTAGAACGTTTGACAAGTGAAGAAACATAAAATAGTCAATCAAAATACAATTATCAATGAGGCTTTACAATTAACGCCATATTTGCAGCAATATAAGCAAAAACTTATTGAGCTTCAAGCATCATTTTCTCTTTGGCGTACCAATTAAAATCTCTTCATTTTAAGCATAATTTTACAGATAAAGCACTAAACATACTTTTCAAGTTTGTTTAACGATTGAGAAACATCAAAAATATTTTTTTTGGTATATATTGTACTTTACATTATATTATACTTTTAATAATATGCATGAAACATTTTTCAATTCTGATTGGCTATTAAGAGCACTGCCATTCTCGAAATACAGTGCCAAAAAGTGAAATACAGTGCAAAAAATGAAATAGTTACAATGCAAAAAATGAGAATAATACAAAAAATACAAACATTACGAGTGACAAAATTTACTAACAAAATTGTTTATATTAAAATTATCTATTTCGCATGTAACCAACACATGGATATGATTGCATAATGTTTTTAAGTATATTATTAATAAGTAATAGTACTGTTTCTCGTGGAATCTGGAAAACATACACTCTCTGAGTTTTCAAAGACTTGTGCATGTTTTTCCCATATTGCATTCGAAACCATACTATTACCCATACTTATGTTATACTTTTCAGCACGTGTTATGTAACATAGAAAAAAACGCCTCTTAATATATTCACACGTCTTTAACACGGGTCGTAAAGACTTAAGCTATTTTTTTCTCATTTGACATTTAAACAACTATATTAACTGTAGTATATATAAATGTAGAATAAAATTACAAATAGAATCTTAATGCATGTCTATGATTTGCATATATTAAAATTGTTAAACCTATTTCAGTTAATGGCAGATTTTTAACTTCCTTGAAAAAGGGTTAAGCCCTCACTTTTCCGTGCCCAAAAAGAGACGCTCCATGACATCTCACAAAAGCTTGCTCAGCTAACAGGCTATATGACCAGGGTCCCCACGACCCTTGAAAATCCTGGAAAGTCAAAAAATCCAGGCCTGGAAAGTCCTTGGAAACTGATAAGGTCCTTGAAAGTCCTGGATTTTTTTTTCAGTAGGCTGGAAATAATTGAAGAATTATTACCAGCCCAAGGATTATTGCCCAAATGTTTATTTTCTCCAATTTCAATTAAAATTATGTATAACAATTGTCCAAAAGTTATTTCGATGTCATTTTTTTTCTAATTGCATTCCTCTCCTTAAGTTTAAGGATAAAAGTTAGATGATTTTCAAAGATTTTTCCAGTTTTCCATGGGATCCAAGCCTTAAAACTTGTTACAAACGTAAACATGCAAACGCGTTTAAATTAAATGCTCACGGTTGACTGTAGCTTGCAAACGGTAGTAAACAAATTGATATAAATAACAAATAATTAGAATCTTTAAACCAAACTTCACGGTTCCGGAACCCTGAGTAATCGCCCTGAATTAATTAAGCATGCAAATAAGACCAAAAAGGAGAGCAGATTTTCAATTTCCGTGGTGATTCCCACTTTTCTCATTCCGGGTTTTACAGATTCCGGCTTTTTCCATTCTGGGTTTTACAGATTCCAGTTCAGTGGTCGAAGTTTAGCTACAATCTTGGACATAACTGGTTGACACTATTTTCCCCTTATTGAAAATTCGCGTATTTTTATGATAAACTCCATGTTGAATCATGTTGCCATTCTTAAACCCCAGCTCCCCCAACTCAATGTTGAGCTTGTATCATGGTATATCATCAAAAGTTGTTTCGGCGTTGTTCACAACATTGAACTGGGGGAGGGGGAGACAAAGTTTGTTTTGTCAATGTTCAAAACTTTGTAATATTAGTTGGAATGGTCTCAAGGGTTTCGTCCAAGATTGTAGCCTAAAAACAGAGCTACGTTTCGCCCGCCCTTTAGTAGCCTGCTAGCCCTTTAAGGTCCATAGAGACTGGACGCGATTTGGCAACGCGACGCGAATTTTCAGTTTTCAATGACTTTTAACATTAATATTTTTCAGTGTTTTTCAAATATTCGGGACCACGTAAGCAACTTTAGCTATTTGGTCTGCATATCTTGTAAAATTTTTACCCGTTGACGATTTTATTTGTTTTTGAAAACTGAAAATTCGCGTCGCGTTGCCGAATCGCGTCCGGGGTCCCAGCGGATTTAGACCCCCTCAAAATGGATCCCCCGATCCAAATCTAGACTTGGATCAAGTCCGTCTCTCAAGAGTCCGAGGGATTGGACACGCGAGGTGCAATAACGCGGGAAAGCTAAAATCCGCTAGCGAATATGGACCGGGGAGTCCATATCCGCTAGCGAATGTCCTCGACCCGCGAATTTTAGGGCGGGCGAAACGTGTCACACGTGGTTCATAGACCCACGTGGGTATCGTCGTATCCCTGGTCGTATCGAAGAAGAACCGTACATATCGAGCATAATTTTTATGAAACTTTGTCGAAATAAAATAGTTATGCCATGCAAAGGGATAGGTTAGTATTAAATTTAGCTATTTTTAACGTTTGTGCACTGTTTTTGTCAAGTTCTAGCCGTGTTTTGAAACACGTGCTGCAAATTCATTGAATTTTATACACTTCGCCAACTATTCAAGCGCTTCGTTCTCGCTTTAAAATAGTCGCTTTTCTCCTTCGTATTTCTCCCAAATTTTCTTGCAATAATGTTCCGAAATACCCCCAGCTTTGATTGATATAACTCATATTTGTTTTATCTGCTGTTTCAGGACAACAATTGGACAGGAAAGTTGACAAAGTTTTAATAGTGATAAGTCGCCGACCTAAAGCACGTGCACGTGGTAAGCGTCAATTATCACTTTTTTTTTAACAAATTTTATTTGGATCGATATTCACAATTTTTAACAAACAAAAGAATATAACAGAACAAATATTTATTAAATTAGATAACCTAGATATCAAATGTAGATCCAAAAAGGTAAGGGACCGGTCATAAAGTAATTACTAGAGGGGATGGAGGATAAATGAAATTTCAAGTACATATTTCCATACCCTCCCAAAAACCTATGGAAAAATTTTCGTAACCCCCTTCAATGTAAGTGAAAATTTTCAAACCCCCCGTTCTATCATTAATTCTGTTATAACATTTGTCTTGCGTTTATCTATATTTCGAAACTCTCCAGTTTGTGATAACTCTCCCACTTCTTGTAGTGGTAACCATATTCTCAACATTTTCCGCAGTCTCCGATTCGTCACCAGTTTTTTCTGATTTTGGCATACTAGCGATGGGCTGAGGGTAAGATCAAACAGAAAAATTTGTTTGGGGTTTATTTCAAATAGAAAACATTTGCTTCCATTCAATGTGACACTTCCTCATCAGGTTTATCAAGTTCTAATGCCGGTGTGAGCTTGCTAGCGTTGACAATTCAGGTGTATCAGATTTGTACTCCAAAAGTTCAACGGATACTGAATCCTACTTATCATCTGACATTGAGTTAGACTAAAACATATACCTTGTGATGATTTAATAATTATAGAAAAAATCTGGGCACAAATACTTTCAATATTCAACATTAGTATAATTACATAGGTGATTATTGAAAATTCTCCACGCTGATTGGTTGCCGTTAAGGTGATTATTACGCGATAATCACCTAAGCGATTTTCAAAATGGCGGCCGAAGCCGTTTTGTCAATTAAATGACGAAGAAATGTGTATTTTTTATTTTTTTCTAAATAATCACCTATGAAATTATACTAAAACAATTATTCACCTCAGGCTCGGTGATTATCGTGAATAAAAACCTCGACTTCGTCTCGGTTTTTATTCACCGATAATCACCTCGCCTTCGGCGAATAATTGTTAAATAATAATTAAATCTGGGCACAAATACATTCAGGGGCGGATCTAGGATTTTTCGTACCTCAGTCACAATTTTTTGGTGGACGGGGGGTTATCGGCGCTGGGCGTGGACTCGACTGGGCGTGGTCGACTCCAGACGGGGGGAGTGGGCGCTAAATAATTTTTATGTTGATAGTCCGCCACTGGATTTTTAGAATTTTCCGTACATAAAATGCGATTTGCCCCCCCCCCCACACACACCTATTAACCCAAATCCTAATTAATCAAATTATACAACATATTTAGATTAACTTAATAAACTCAAACGAACATTTGATCCCTATCCACAGGCACTGCAAGAACTACAAATGCACAAAGATGTATTGATGATAATACTTTAAAACTCAGCAGCAATTTAACATATTTGCCTGTGGATTAAGAATCGTCGTCATATTGGTACTATATGCTTATAAGTGTATCATTGTAAAACGTCTAAAATCATATGGCAGCAAATGCGTTAAGGAAATATACTGTTCTGTTACCAAAAACACAGAACTATACATAAGAAGTAATTGCCAGTAGCCTGAGTTCCAAAAAAACAACCACATATTCATTAACTAAGTCAAAGATGTTAATTAAGTCAAATATTAATAAACTAAACTCTTACTATTAATAAAGTCTTACTGTGGTCTATATAT